CCAGCGGATTGTTTTTATTTTTTTGGAATGACTGACCTGGATGACTGAGAATCTTCACCAGCACGTTTCCAAAAGGAGCGCTGCAAAAAGATCTAGAAATAAGTAACATCTTCTTCAATTAAGTGTATTTACTCTTAATTCAGTGATAAATCAGATGATCTGCCAATGGAATGAGTTGTTTTACTCTTAAAATAAGATAATTAGATAATATGCACTTGAAATATGACAATGCAATTATTTTCTTTCATATTTTCAGTGCAAGTAATCTCACTTTCCTCAATTCAAGAAAAAAATGAAGTGCAGTGAACCAACGTTTTTATTCAGACCTGATAACTGAGGAGCTGTTCTGTATTTTTTCAGGTGGAATTGCTTCTAAAACTCTGGTTTAATCAGGTTGAAAACAAACGTCTCTGGTGCAGTCATGTCTGCTGCAGAGAAGTTTCTAATCAGATCAATCTGTGATTTGTTTTAAAGTTGTTTGAAACTAACATTGCTTTTCATTTCCCTATAATACTGTTAAGGTTCAACCCTTTTAGCACCGGTTTATCTCCTCTTCCCTTCATTTTTTGGCCTTAAACACGCCTCATGTTTGGTTCCTGGTTTTGCGCCATTAGCTGTTTTCTGCAGCTTTATTCTGATCCGTTCTTTAGATGAGCTAACAGGTGGGACCCTGCAGAGCTTTTTTCCTTCACTCTGCATTCACACACTCTGCTCTCCGTCTCTCAGATGGAAGATGAAAACATTGCGTGTTTGTGGGGGGTGGTGTGGTTGACGTTGTTTAGAACAGGAAGCAGCCCCTTTGTAGCCCTGCAGCCTGAAAGCTGCAGGCGTGGCCATGCCAGTCTGAAGTGATGCTGAATGCAGAATGAATTTCTCCTCCATCCTGGAGGTTCTGCTGCTTCCTTTGTCCTTCTGCTGCAGCCTGTGAGTTCTGGTGTCAGAGAATAAGCAGCTTCTTCAGCCTCTAAACATCAACACACCTTTTCCACTCTGTGTTGTGTACAGACCCGCGTGCCGCTGCGCTGGTACCCTCCTGAATACTTCAAGAACAACTACTACAGCTTCAAAGGAGACGTATGGGCGTTCGGCATCGTGCTGTGGGAGATGCAGACCTTTGGTAGGTGGGCAGTTCAAAGCTGCAGAACGGGAGGTAAAATGCGTGAGAAGGCCTGCTGCAGTTAGAGATGCTTCACTTTCACTGGGATCACTCTGAAAGATTCACATTTTCTTTCTTTCTTTCTTACATTTCCATCTTTAGTATCTCTGTAACTGTTAAAATTCCATAAAATATCAGGATTAAAGAGTCGATCAACTAAGGAAAGAAAATGGCAACCTTTCTCTGTGATGTTTACAGCATTTTAAAACATTTAAACTGTGATCCATGTTGAGTTAAAGGGACAGCGTTCAATGAATGCTGACATCTGGTGGTCAAACTGGAGATTGCAGCTGATAATTAGGTTCCAGTTTAAGGTCCTTTAACAAACTGTAGAGTATATCCTCTATTATGGAGACGGCGAGCTGTTAGATATCATTATCCCAGAAAAAAACAAAAACTTTAGAGAATGTTTTCTACTCTATTTAGTAAAATTCACTTCACTAAAAACTGTGATAAATGTACCAACTGTGACCTTAAGGCTCTCTTCAAAAACATAGATTATAATGTTAAACATCAGGGCTCCGTTTCATGAACCAGGTTTACCGAAAACTTTACGTTTACTAAACCAGAGTTTCCTCATCACCTGTTTCTGTTGCCATAGTAACATCCTCCCAGAGCTAACCTGGTCAGCAGCAGGTTTGCTTCAGTAAACTCAGAGTCCTCTGTCTCCTCGTTCTCCTTACAGCAGCTGATCATGCTGTTTTATTTCCTGATTTAGTCAGATTTCTGCTGCAGTTTTGTGCATTAAAAAAATAAATAAATATATATA